CCACAGAATAAGACTAACTTTCCTGATAACCAATCAGAGAAATCATTAGAGTGTGATTTATTTGATGAACTAAAGCAATATAAACGGGGAAGTGAACAATTCAATACAACAACGTTGCTAAAAAAAAAAAAAATCGAATCAAAAACTAGTCCTAATTTAACTAGATAATTTTTAAATGGTTTTGTCGGAAATTTAACAAGCTCTTAAAATAATTAATAAATAACAAAAACCTTTTACCACTACATACTATAGAGATATTACTGTTATTTTTCAGAATGAGGAAACTCATCTAAACCCTGAGTGAAAAATTGGAAGAGTCAAATTCAAAAGTATATTGGTTTTACCATTTCTTTCCATAATTAACTAAAATTGTCAAGTATTAGTAACAATTTTCCTTAATTTTTACTCACAAAAATGCTTATATATATGTATATATATATATTGGCCAGTCTTAGTGACATCTTGAAACAATTAGGTGATCTTAGCAGTTAGACCGAATTTGGGCAACACTAGGACAAAACATTGCTGCCGCTAGGAAGCAAAATTGCAATCACACAACTTATTATAATATGTGGAAGGTAATATAACCATTATTATGATTTAATATTTTATATATTTATATATATATATATATATATATATATATATATATATATATATATATATATATATATATGTATATAAATAAAATTTTGATTCGTTTTTTTTTAAATAACAAAAATCCTAAGCTAATTAAGATAGAAAAACGCTTCAAATTATTACACAATAGTTTATTATTTCCAAACGCTTTAACATCAAAATTAACTTTACTTTCCGTGTAAAATTAAGGAAAATAAAGAATAAGGGATTCCTAATATTGCCCTAAATAATTTTAATTTTATCACTGATAATTTGCTTTAAAAAATAGACAACATTGCATTCAAAATAAAAAGAAAAAAGAAAAAAAAAAGATATAAGCTTTGCAAAAGAAAATATATTCAGTCACCATAACATAAAATTGTCTCTTTTCAACGATTTTATTTTTTACGACAATTCCTAATTTTTTAAAAATGCTAACAGGTTTTTTGGCCGCCATCTTGGAAGAAAAGGGCGGATAGTAATGTTGAGGTAGGAGAGTCATCCTAGGGCGACCTCTGACTTCGATTCCAAATTCGAAAAAAAATCCGTCGAACGTTTCGAAGAAAAGTCGAGGACGGCGGACAAATTTTGTTTTTATTCGATTTTCGAATATTACACTGATTCATAATTACAAATAATAAACCAAAATGTATTATATTTGTATTAATAATTGCTGATTATATTAATTTATCCCAATTTAATTTAAAATATCTAAATCAAAAATATATCAGGAACAAAATATATGTATAACGCTATATAAGAAACGGTATTATTCATATTACTAATCATTGTTCTTTTAATATTCTTAATACATCATTCAGTATGGTTAAAGGGAAGAGAAAAAAATTAATGAGGCCTTTCTTATATATTTTAAAATTCATTTAGTGGATAAAACTCCCATTAATCTTCTAATAAAATCTAAAAACTGACTATAGAATTAGTACAAAGTTTGTAATTCAGCGATTAAACAACAATTAAAAAATGTCGATAAAAATTACAACTGCATGAAAAGAGAATACAAATATATTTATACAACATATAACTTAAGAAATGAAGAAAACTAAAACGCTGACCTTTACAACAATCCATGATTTAAAAGCATTTAGTATCAACAGCAAATACGGCAATTAGAAAACAATTTAATTGACTATAAATAGTTTCTCACCAACAGAAAAAAAAGAAAAGTAATTAAAGACAGCAATAAACAGGGGTACCCGCCCATCCCTGTCTCTCCCCCTCCTCAAGGACTACGCTGATTCCCTCTCCAAAAAAAAAAAAATGTATTGCTCACTTCTTAATAATGGTGTAAATGAAAGTAAAATTATAGAAATAGTAGTTTAGTTTCTTAGTTTCTTGATTTGAACACCCCCCCTCCAAATTAAAACCTACAACAATATGACCCCCACACCAATCTAATATATCATAATTCCGTAAATAGGTATTTTCTCCTCCCAAAAATGTTTACCTTCTTAAAAATCAAAATTAGGACTGCGCTCCCTTTGTGTGCATTACATGCAATAAAACAATATGAAAAATTTAGTAAGTCCAAGAACAGCAAAAATATAAATACACGTTTAGTAACGTAAAATTATATAGACTTTGTAAAATTAAGTTATTATTAAATCATTGTTGTGTTTTTTCAAACCATTTCAAATAAATCTGTTGTGGGATATCAATTAATCGTTTTTTAATCTTAATTTTTTGTAAATTATTTGATATGTACTTATTACAAATTATTTTATTTATAAATAAAAATATTTTACGAAAAGTTAATTTATATGGTGAGATAAGAGAAAATGGACTACAAAAAAAACATAACAGAAAAGAACTAATAATCGACGGTTGTGCCATTTCTAAAATTCACAATAATGCCTTATATATTTAAATTATAATTCAAATTTACTTTTTTTTTTTTATTCACCTTTTTGCTGATAATTAGAATCAATTTATTTTTTAAAAAACCGGATTGCTTTTCTTCAGCACATAGACAGGGCACCGAAAATTATAATGGACTGAGAAAATTATTATATTAAGGTAGAAAGAAATTGCTTTGACTTCAGTAGTAGGCCTATTCCACGGCCACCTATAGCACCTGCAAATCATCGAGCAGGCTGTGGAAATTGCCTTTTCAGGGCGAAAATGGTAAAAAGAAATTATGTATAAACAGGATGCAACTGCTTAACTAGAGCCTAAACTCCATTAACATACTATAAATTATTAATACTGAATAATTTTCGTTATTACTACTGAAAATAAACTAAAAAATTTTTTCTTCCAACTTTCAATTACAACAGCAATTAACCTCTGTATTTTCATCGAATACAGTACTGTAATTTTAGACAAATCTGAATAAAGTTTAGAAAATTTTAACCTCTTATTAATAAAAGATTGTTTCAAACAGTTAAAATTGAACTCATTTGTAAAAAAAAAATATAAATGTTTCAACTGTTTTTTCTTTCTTATTGTGATTATTTGATTATTTATTGTGATTTCTTTCTTATTAACGAGGTTTTCGCATTACTAAGGGTTCGAATTATCTATACCGTCCTGTAGCTCATTCCAATGATATTCAAAGTCATTAAAATGCTCCATGTCTTAAATTTTATGCAAAAAAATTTATTCGTAGATTACTTGGATCTATTAAGCGTTATTTTATTTTTATTTTTTTTGTTTATTGAATGTTAACCTGTAAGGAAAAACAATTATATTTTATCGAATTGTATCGTAAACAATTTCCACCAATTAAGAAAATATTATACAAGTTTTCCTTAAGGTTAAAATATACGTAAACAGTTAATATGTCAGGGACAAATAAAACTAAAGAATAGAGAAAACAAACAAAATTGTTATTCTTGGCATTTAACTAGCAATCTCATTACAAATATTATCTTGCCTGTTTTCATGTTCATTGTATTCTTTTCAGACCACAGGCAGATCTACGGAGAGTGGGGTCTTTAGGGCTGAAGTCCCTCTTCCCCAAAATGCTAAACTGTAACGACGTTTTATGGTACAAAATATTTAAAAAATATTTTTTAAAGCATCATTGTTATTGTAATTATATTTTATAGGCCTTCAAGAATCACTTAAATACTATTCCATATAGGTAGTTAGTATCTTTTTTTTTCCAAAAATAATTATCGTTATATATATGAAAAAAAAACTTTCGGGCTGAAGCCCCCCCCAAAAAAAATTATATCCTGAATACGTTAGTATTTCAGCCTACTATATTAAAAAATTAAATACATTAAATTTTGCAAATATTCGCCTTCTTCACAGGAAACTGGGGATGATAATTAAGTTCGTTTGGACACGACACACAAGCATTTGGTTTGTGGATATTAAATCAGCTCCCCTCACTTCCTTTTCTGGTCTTGCTCATATTAAATTACTTACGGTGGAAGCTTCAATATTGATTATCTGTTCGATCAATTAGTCTTCTGTTTTTTTTTTATTCGATTTGAATCTGAATCTATAATATGTAGACAATTATTTGAATGATGGTCCTTTTATTGTAAACAAAAAGTTTATCAAGCAATAGTCAGTAACAGATCAAGAATTAAATTTCGAGGAGCTTTAGTCCGAAAGTTTTAAAAGTGTATTGTATTACATGGGAAGAATGAGAAAGAAATTACCTATATGAAATGGTGTGTAAGTAATTCTTGATGTCCTATTTAAAATTTAATTACATGAATAATAATACTTTTATTTATTGCATTGCCTAATAAATAATCACATTTACTTTTGATTATTATTCGTTTGCGAACGGTTCGGGGAATCAATTATGCACCTCTCGCACCTCCTCACCATCGTGCACCTCCTCAGCTTCTAAAGAAATACAATTAATATATTATAGGTTTTATTATAAACCAGTCATTTTTAACTTATGAACACATACCATTTTTTTGTCTAAGTTAATATAGTTTTGGATAATTTATAATTATAATAATTTTTGATGGGAGCCTGTAGCCTTAAAGACCTTCCTCCTTCCCCCATGCCTGTAGATCTGCCACTGACTATAGTGAAAACACTTGAGTATCATTTACTTTGAAACTGACGCCGGATTAGAGGAATATGGCGGATTTTGTGTTTTAATTCCAAATACGCGGCGGCTAAGGTATCGACTTCACGATTGTTTACAGCCAGACTATATTCCTGATTTTTCAAATAAACTGGAGAGCTTATAAAATAGTTTGTCTCATAAACGAATAATTATGTTCTGTTCATTGACAAGTCAAGTGATTAGTTCTAAAATACTCTCTCTGGCTAAAGTCTTTTGATATCTTGATCATCTCAAACATACAAAGTTAGTTAGCAATTAGACGTATGATAATAAATGCTGCGAGGAGTTAATGTATCACTTGGCCAATACCAGACAAAGTGACTTATCTTTGAGGATCAACGCTCGATAGTAGCCGGTACCCAGACATCAACTTCGTGACCCCGGCATTACGAGGGACTGGGCAAAGAAATCCGAGACCAGCGTCCCGAGCAGTTGCTGACACCGGGCAACTGGTAAACCGGTTCCCAACTTGCGAAACCCAATTACAACTTACTCTAAGCATTACTAAATCAGTGGAAAGTCCCTTACTTGGGATCTCAAGTTTTCTGTAACCGGACACTTCGGATTCCCATTGCACCGGGGAGAAAGCTAAACTGAGTTGTCATGCACCATCGCCTCTGGGCAATAATAGGAGCTGCCATCGGAGGGTTCGGGAAGCTAAAACTAGCCACATTGAACCAAAATCCGAAATGTCTTTAATGGTTTAAAAGAACATACAGACATGTTCTTTGGGCTTTGAAGTATTTCATATATCATGGAATAGTTGGTTTCATTAATTGGTTAAATAAAATAAAATATAACCCATATTTATATATATTCGCTTCTGTATTTAGTTGTATAAATTTATTATGTGTACTATAAATGTGTATAATTATTATTCATATATATAAAATTAGGAAAATCCATTTTTTTTTTTTAAATCTAGCAATATAACGTTCAATAAAAACATCATTTCATAATAAACTTATATAGTTTGATAAAAATATTATTTCTTATTCAATAGGGATATAGTTTAATTGAATACAAATTTAATAAAAATAATAATGACCCGTAAAAAATTAAAACGCTTGAATTGATGATTTTACATTGAAAAGACATCTCTTGTTATATGCATCTACTTGCAGTTTTTCTTTAATACATCATATGTACCAAAAATTTACTAAATATGTAAGGATAAATAATCTTGTATTTAGAAAATAAGTAGAGCGGTTTTATTTTTTAAAAATACTGTATTTGCTGGAAATTTTATTTCAAATTTTTTATTTTTTTTTTATTTAGACATGGTTGATTTAAAATTTGTTTAGGTTAGGATATATAGTAGAAAAGAAAAATCAGAATATAAATTAAAAAAAATTCACAATACTTCTAACACGAATATACTTCACCATTCGATCCAATACGATAAATTATATATAGTACGAATCGTATTAAAAATTTTATAAGAGAAAATCTGGATGAAAAATCCATGACTAGAGAAAAGAACGTTTCGTACAATTGAGCGGTGGGTAGAAAAGGGGTACATTTCATATATTAATTTTAAAGATGCTACTTAATTTAATAGTCTTTTTAATATTTGATTTGATAATGATGGAAAGGAGAAAAATAATCTAAGATTGATTAATCAGGTAAAGGGAGTGAATAAGTAACAATGGTTTCTTATCCTTTTACGTAAGAAAAAATAAACAAAAGTAAATTTTATTCTGAGACATTTAGTCCCTAAAAATGACAAAAATGGACAAGAACACGGCCAATAAATGATCAAATTGCAAAGCTATGAAATGTTAGAGTTATAATAAAAGACGAGAATAATTAAAGCCGATGAAAATAATGAAATTATAAATAAATAAATATCAGAATGCTTACATATTTTTACTGGTAAGTAATATAAATAATAACTCTGAAATAATAGTAAAATATGGATGGCAACATAAAAGTAAGAAAAATTTAATTCTTAAATATGTTCAAAGGTTGATAGCTAAGGAAACTGAAAAATAATTGGTGTTTTAATGAAGTTAAAGTTTACCTTGGAGAGTAAGGATTTTCAAAACAAGTGCATGATAAAGCATTTTTTGAAGGAAAGAATAACAATTTTGTGAGTTAGGATCTAGTGATTATACAGAAAAACAAGGAGTAAACAAGTAAAAGAGGTAAGAAGTTTTTCTAACTATGAAGGTCCAGAAAAAGGAACACGACTAGGAAATAAATACGTCATCGGAAAACTGGATAGAGCCACTTCAAATTGATATTACCAACTGGAGACAAGTGAGTGTCTGGATAATCCAAATATGAATCTAATGAAACAATTCATTACTTTCTTCAGTCGAATATAATGCCCACCAGATAGTCCACACTACAGAATGCAGCCATAATCAAACTGGGAAATTAAGAGCTGGCGGGGTTTAATGGAGGCAGAATTGGAGGATAGCAATACATTTTCGGATAATTTAGGAAATGTGGAAGCTAATAGGTAGGCTAATAAGATAGAGTAAGGAATGGAATTAGGAAGACGATTGGAATCAATGAGAATTCTTATGACATTTTCAAAATAATATAATATATAGGGTGTTTCAGGGTTAAAGGGCCAAACTGCAAAAATGAACTAATAACCTCAAAACAAGAAAACAATTTCATCTGAAGGTATGTCCGCAAACGCTTAGTTTTTTTTACACCTATTATTTTATTACAGATATTTACACCTAAAGATTTTCGTTGTTATGAATTATTTACGTTATACGAAATAAATAAAACATATTTATTTGTTCTAACTACTTTATTAATCAAATGTAAACATTAACATTCATATTAAATGTTGTTCAAAGTGATTTCCTTGAGCATTAAGACAGGCTCGGTATCATTCTTCAACAGCAGCAGTGGCAGAACAGCACTGGATATGTGCTAATGTTTCACAAGATTCAATTATCCTTCTTCGTAAGGAATTAGGGTAGGTGACCGGACTTGCATATACATGTTGTTAAATGTAACCCCAAACAAAAAAATACAGTGGTGTTAGGTCTGGGGAGCGTGCAGGCCAAGCCACTGGTCCTGCACGGCCAATACATTGATTGGGATATGGGATATGATTGCACAAGTCCGGTCATAACTGAAGACCGTAAATATTAACAAAAATAATTTGCTGAATAACCTGGCTACATCTCATTATAACAAAAAGTATGGCTTTCCAAATGAAATAATAACGGCAAAGTTTCGGGAGAGCCTCACAAAAGGTTTCCGCTGATTGGTTCAATAATTAATTAAATTAAACAAATTGAATTAAATCTTCTTAGAGCGGTTTGATGTAGATTAAAAGCACCGGTTAGTGTTTAACAAGAAAAAGGAAATAATAGGTTAATATTTTAAAAGGAAAAGAAAAAAGAAAGAAAACAATCCCTACTACTTGCAATTTTCCTGGAATAATTTTAGGAATTTAACACAAGGACGACCGACGATTCCGAGTAACTCCTTTTTATTAACATCTCCTTCCTTTTTTTTTCTTAATCGATTTATCTATACTAAAGATCAAGTTTTATCTTATTCCTCTCAATTCTGTCGATTATCCATAGCATTAATGTGTTTTTCGCAAGGTACTATTTCAAGTACTTATATATTCCGTTGAGGTACACATAACCTTTGTAAATTTATATGATATACCTAAAGGCATGCCCAGCAATGCGCTCTTCATTTTATGCAAATTTATATCTGCTGTTATCGATGAAAATGACCCACATATTGTTTCTCCAACACTTCAATTACATATAATAATCTATAACAAATAATTGTCAAGATACAAATGATATATCTTTTTTTTTTTTTTTTTTTTTGTAGTAGATAGTGAAATATTTTCCATATCATTTGAATCTCTTTATCTTCACAAGTTTTCTTTCCCTATTTGCATATCATTACGTTGTCAATTTGTTTTTTCTTAACACTAATAATGATGGCCTAAAAAAGAAGCCTAAAAATCGGCAAAAAGATAATAAACAATTTTTTGTGTACCTCATTCATATTATTATTTCTATTTTAATTGCGAGAAGAGGGCGATAAGGCCCCCAACAACAGTCTCAGAAGTTTGTATTGTGTACAAAAATTATAAGCGATAATTGACAAAATAAATATAATTATTGCAAAACGAAAAATATAATAAAATTTTATATATTATTTCTAAAAGGTGTTTTTTTTGTCGGTGTGCCATAACTTCGTCAATTATTCATCAAATCCAATGACTGACCACTCACTGTAAAGATATTTTTCTCCTTCACATGCGAAAAATAGTCTTATCCATCCGAAATTTCTGGAAAAGAAAATTCATTTGCGAATAACTCAAAAAGTATGCATTTTTTCTCGATTGTGCCCATGATAATTAGAAAGATTACTAAATCACTTACAAAACAAAAAAAAAAAATCGTAAAAATCGGAAAATTATTAACAAAGATATAGCCCATTAGTTTCGGTATACTTAATAATATCTTGCTGTTTAAAGATATTGAATTTAGGAGTAGAATAGTCTACTATACTTTTTTTTCTGGCTGATATATTAACTTTATTATTTCTTAAGGGCATTTGGTTGTCCTTAAATTTTATTTTTTTTAATAATTTTGAAAATCCCATGAACGGGGCATTATTTTATCTTTATTACTTTTATTATCTTTCCAGTCAGCGTTTAAAAATAGGTTTTAGCAAAATAATTTGTACATAATATTTTTGTCTATTATGTTTAATGGAATATTGTAATCGACCAAGGAAAAACTATTAATTCCTTCCTTACATAATAAATAGGAACTATTTATTTCCATACTGTTTTGCTATTTCTTCACTAAACAAAAGTTTCTGCGAATTATTCGCACGGGCCAACTAGTAAATTTATTTTTCTACTTAGTTTTAATTGAAAATATGTTAACAAATCAATTAAAATATAATACATTTATTTATTATTTAAAGGTTTTAGACAGTGAGAGGAATCCTCCGATGCTTCAAATTTGCCACGGAATAGTGTTATACAATCTTCAAATAAATGAGTTATAAAATTCTTGGATACGTACCTAAACACAGTATTTTAGAATATAAATTAAAATTTGAATGATAGGAACATAAGGCGTGGAAAAATACTTGCGTACCTGCTTCTATCCTTTAGCTTAGCCATCTATTCGACTTCACCTATTTTCTTAATTGATCTTAGTTTACATATTTTATTCATTTATTCATGTATACATTGTTATTGATTTTTATTTTATTTTAGTTCTTTTGAAATATAGGGGAGAGGTGGAGGAGTGGCGAAACAGTATTCCCGTCTCTCTCTATTATTGGGAGGCATCGCCCTCTTCCCCCCCCCCTCAGAAATCTGCGCCTTGGAATTTAATGTAATATTTTTATTTTTATTTTGCAAGCAAACAACCTTATCTAACAAACAATAAATGAATCACACTGATATTCTGTCGAGAAACCTTCTGAAAAAAAAAAAAAACAGATCTAGAAATCAGCTTCATTATACATCGATCTGTGGACTGTTATAAATTATATAAATTTAGTTTTACAATGGAAGGCGACTGTAAAAGGAGTAAGGAACAGATAATTAACGACATATGTTTTCACTTAGGATGAATGGGAGTGGAGATCAGGAAATGCATTGTGCTTTCCGACAAGGCACGGTGAAAGTTGACCGAAGGATGCACTTGCTGTAATAGGACTTAGGCACACCATCTGTCCCATAAAAAACAAAGTCGAGAAATTTTTAAGAGAAATTTGTAAAAAGTCAATTTAGTTTTAAAAATTAAAATTCAATTCATAAAAGAGGATTATTAAAAATTAATATCTGTAAATAAAATTTAAATAACACATCCGAAAAGATACTCTTAATTTCGATCATTAACAGATTCAGGATTCTGGAAAGAGAGCTAACTTATTTTTTTTTTTACCTGATGTGCTCAGATCACTCATAGAAACAAATCTGGACCAATGGAAAAACATTATTTCTCTACATGTTTTTGGAGAGGGAAGTTAAGCCTCTCTCTTCCTTGAATCCATTAGTGATTTCGATCACAACTCGCAATATACATCAATGCGACAAAATGATACAAGTTAACTAGAAACATAAGTTCGAAAATAGAGGAACAACAAAATGTTTTAATAGTTTAATAATATTTTAATGAGGTTCTGTAAAATACAACGATGGATTAAAATAAGCTATAACAGGATTTAATTTTTTTAACTTTTAAACATTATAAACTGCCAACCTTGGACAATAAGTAACAATAATACACTGATACATATTTACGGAAAACATGTGAACAAGTAAATAAAACACAAGAAAAACTAAAAACAAGTAAAAAATAAATGTATAAAAATTATCTCAAGCAGGTTACTGTCGTAGACATTCACTACATTTTATTGATGAATATTATATTTATTTTATCATAAATAAAAACAAATTTGAATTTGATAATGTCCGATAATTAAGAGTATATACTGTGTAGGTTCGTGCGTCAATTTTTTTACGTAACTTGGTATATCTACCTACTCATAAAAGTGAGTTACATCCAATTAAAAAAAAGGTAAAAATAAACCAATAAGTATAGAAAGTGGCAAACTAAGAAAAGTAAAGAACCTACTGAACATGCATTCTTGAATTATTAATATTGAATTCAATAATGAAATATCTTGTCAAAGATTGAAGCGAAAAAATGAGGGAGCTATGATTAAAAAATTATATAATTTACATTAATAAATCTCCACCGTGTTATGCTATATTTAAACACATATATTTTTAAACTTATATTTCTCCTGAATATTGTATTTTGATATAAAATACTATTTGGAAGTCATTTCAGCAACCTATCTAATTCACAGATAAATAATCAAATAGAAACATATACGCTAACCTGAAGAAAAATCAAATAAAGGTATATATTTTAAATACTGTGAACTGGAGTTACTTTGGTACTCGAAATCGCAATTCTATGGCTAAAACATTTTTTTTTTTTTTATATATTAACAATTATTTAAGTAAACAAACCTTTAGAAGCGAATTCCTACTTTACTGATCATAACTTCTATAGGAGCACTGCAGAGGACAAAACGAATCCTACAATCGACTGGATGTTGAGGGCGTACCAGCCAGCCTGCATAGGATGGCAACGCCATGGGAGATAACGTTATCGCACGAAGGAAGCGGAAATCAGTCATGGCTAGCTAGCTGTCAGCAAAGGCAGATAGCACCATTTGTTTCTTTTTCATATATATTTTATATCTTCATTTCATTTAATACAAAAAAAGGTTTATAAGTAGACCATAAAATAATATCAAGTAGTCAAGTCTAAAATATTAACCATATTTCGTTAAAAAGAACCATTTAGATTCCATTAATATATTCTACGTAAATGTGGCAAGCAAAGTCTCATTATTAGCACAGATCTACATGAGTAAGTATACACACGTATATAGGTCTAGAATAAAAATCACCTATAATAAAATCGATGATCGTAATCGTCTAGACTTCTGATCAACTAACAACAGCTTGATGAATAATGATTTTAATTAGTATTTCCTTAGAGTTTACAAAATATAGAGAGAACACATGGGCGTAAGCAGGAGAGGGCATTCCCCCCCTAAATAATTTGATATATGAGGCCGTGTAAAAAGGTTTGTCGAAAATCTAATAAAATAATCTTTATAAATGATTATATGTAATAACCCGGCAACCTTACTACATCTACAGTCAGTCTCCCACAGTTCAAACCGTAGTCCACTCCCAGAAAACAAGATCCCGTGTTTCTGAACTTTATACCCCTTTATACATTTGAACATTTCTTTATTGCGCGATCCACTGCCTTCTGGAACTCCTTGCCATCTGATATCCGCCATGCATCTTCAATACAATATCCATGTATATTCAAATACAATCTTCACCAATTCCTTCTTCCAAAATGATGCAATCATGAAATAAATTTTATGAATCGAATTTAGATTGAAGTGAATGATTGTTGAAATTGTTTGTTTTAATTTTAAAAATCAACTCATAGTGTTTATAACGTTTTGGTTTTATTTTTCCTAATTTCTGTTTTTCTTTTCATTTTAATTATGTTTTTTTTTTATCAAAATGTTTTTACTTTCTGTTGTTTATATTTTATCATTTAAGATATCGTATAATTCTTATTAATGTAGTTTTTGGCCATGGTTTTTATTTTTTGTTAATAATCGATATGCATAAGGGACCTAGTCCCAGAATAAAGCTTATGTTCTATCTATCTTTCTATCTATATATAGTTTTTCATATTAATACATTGTAATAATAGTAAATTACTTAGTATGATATTATTGAGTCCGGGATCATTTATCTACCAGAAATTTTTCTTTATTCAGTATCTAGTCCTTGGGAGAACATAAAACTTAATTTATCTCAAACCATAAACAATATAGGAACAAGAGGAAAAAAAAATGATTAGTCTATAAGTGAGACTGTACACTAAATAAATAAAATTGACATAATTTAAATAAACAATGGTTGAAACTGTTTTATTTGTGACAAGGGATGAGATTCTACTGCACTCAATTTACTTACATTTATCTGCACGAAACTTCACAATGAAACATCCAAAATAAGCCATAGACTAAATTTATCTTTTATTAAGATATAAACATTCATTAAAAAGTCCTAACCATAAAATAAATTACATGTTATTAAAAATTAATTAATCAGTAATACAATGAATATTTAAATCGTAAGATAACGAAATCGGTTGTACGGTCCAAGTATTTATAATTGAGGTGAAGGTAATTAAAAAAAAAAAACAATACTTTTTTAATTTTTTTTTTTATATTATATCCCCTATTAAGGTAAACAAAAATTTTGAAACCTTTAAATCAAATGTAATTAAACAGTTTTTGAAAGTGGTTATTTTAATAACCTGTTACCAAAAGTGATAAAAATAAAATTTATTAAATTTATTTCTTTAATACAGTTGTAAATATCATACAATGTTAACATTAATTAATATTTAATGTATCAGAGAAAATATTAAAGGTTATAATAATTAAAACGCACTAGTAATAATCGTTTAAAAATTGTTGGTGTATCTTAATTCTACATATTTTTTTTTTTAAATTATAGTTGCATGAAGTGTAATTTATTTACTTACATATTCAACGTTCGGGAAGTAAAATGAGAGTCAAGAAACGAATTTAGTTGAATCATACCTGGAAATATGAAAAAAATATTAATGACATAAAAATGATATTTAAAACTAAAATAAATTGAGGTATTGATTTTTTGAAAGAAATCATGAATAAATAATGTGACCATTGAGGGTGGCACCGGAAGCCAGCCAAAGATAAAAAAAATCAGGTGCGCGCAACACACAACTTCCACTTACCTTTCTACTTTGAATAGATATTATTTTCTGGCAATCTTGAACAATTATAAAATTTTTGAAGTGTACAATTAACGGAGCTATAGCTTAAAGCTTACAGCTAACAAATCATTAAGACCACTAAAATAACAAAAGCCCTATAAATTATATCAACGGTAGACAACAAAATCCTTGGTGGTCCATATATATATGCCTAGAGAGGAAGTACATCTTTATATTTAACCTATAAATGATTATGGATTGTAGGGCTATTAGCTATTAAACTGTTATTTTTGTAAAGTTTACTAAAATCATATTACGAGATTTTGATTGCCTGCCATGGATAGGTCTTAATGTTGTCACACTAATTGTAAGTGGATAATGTTGAGATTTGACAAAAGGAAAAATCATCAAATTATTCACTAATTTAATTTTCTAAAAGATTACTTGATGATTTTTTGGTATAATTATAATATCATATCTAGAGTTATAAAATTACAACTTGGCATATATAGATAAGTGAAAGTAAAAATCAATAAGATAGCTTATTCTTTAAAAATAAATATATATTTTATTGAATGTGCCAAGTGTCGAAAAATGTGGAGACTTGACGCAGATAAACTGCCATAATGGGGAGGGAGAAGATGGCAATCTTCAAGTTTGATTTAGTTACACTACTAGCCCTATGCCAAAAGGTAATGAGATAAAAAAAAAAAAAAAATAGAAGGCCACTTCATGATGAAATTAATTAATACAAATGAGAAATAAACATTAATTAATATTTAATGTATCAGAGAAAATTAAAACGCACTAGTAATAATCATTTACAAATTGTTGGTGTATCTCAAGTGTTTATATTGCCCTTATATAATTTAATTAAGACAGGTAAATGCATCTTGTATAGCTTACCAATCTAACCCAGGGAGAAATTAGATATTTATTCCCTCACTAGGAAATTAAATTAATCCCTAGCAGTAACACTGCTTAGTGGACAAAACGGAGAATTTATTGGAAAATAACAACTAGTATTTTGAATATTTAAATGGAAATTTATTGTACCAATTTCGATAGGGAAGAGAGTGATATTGAACCAGAAATATGTTATTTTATTATTTGTTTAAAACTTATTAATTGAGAAGTATTATAATCTATCTCAATTAAGGACATTTATAATAGTGTTCAGATATCACATTCACACAATAAATAAAAATAAATTAAACAGAAAAATAATACATCAAAAAGTGAATGTTAATAAACAAAAAGAAACTAAACTACTGACTGAAACAACTAGCTACTTAAATACAAGCATATTTTTTATACCATATTTACAGAATTCATTAAATCTGGAGAACCCCGAGCCATGCCTTTCTCCCCACTGGTGGAAGGGAAGGCAGGACTCTAGGAGATCCCAGCGCTTATCACTCAGCCGCGTTACTGGTCAAAGGACCAGTGAGTCCGAAATATTAGCATTGATTGTAGTGCCTAAAATGTAGTTAAAGAGAAAAGACAAGTGTAAAGAAAAAGAACGAACCATTGTTATTTCTCTTCCATGTTTTTTTTATCTGATTAGAAGTTTTCTGTTAAAATGAAAGCTAGTGAAAGTAACACTACCAATACGAATTTGATTTTGAAATACAACACATCAATGTCGTCATAAATCTATTTTAAAAGATATATAAATTATTTTACGCGATTTTATGTCTTGTGGTTGTTATATTTCTATCATATATGTTATTACTTATTTTTTAACTGAAAAAGTAGCTGCGAAAACAAAACACATATTACTATTTTTACAAGGATTTCTGATTAAATGAGATACTTGAGCTTGATATGGAAATCGGTCAGCTTTACAAAATATTGAACAAATGGAATGTTTTTTTTTTTTTGTTTTTTTTTGGTTTAATTTTTTTTATTCACACCTATCATAGTGGTAATGACCAGTGAGTGTGGGATCGTTGGAAAAAATAATATCATGAAAGGCATTACGAGGATCAGTGCCCAGCGGCACCTCACTCGGCGTGCTATCTACATTAGGCGAGGTCCCTCATCCAGCTCCTCTTTAACTTGTTACTTAAAATAACAAATTTCTTCTAAAATAGAAGATACTAGTTGTAAGAAACTATAACAAAATGTTTGGTTAATTATAAATTAAATTATAGTGATAAATTGATTTTAAAAGCAATATATAAAAAAAAAAAAAGAGTTTGTATACTTTATTGTAGTTAATTTTTTTTTTCTGTTCTCCAGGAATTTCTTTATTACAAAATACAATATATAAATGTAAAGAATTATATATACATATTTTTTTTTATTTCCTTTTATTGCCCAAGAACATTTTAAGGTAAAAGGGCTATGCACGCTGTATGCGTACTTTGCATCTGTGGCCAGGGGACTTTTATTATACCACTGTAGTTAAATATTTATTTTACATGATATTGTTTAATTTATGGCCGATAGTAATATCGAGATTCAAGATTCATCCAAGAGTGTCCTATGACTTTGACGCAAAATCTCAAAAAAAAAATCGATTGCGTAGTTTCAGAAGGAAAAAAAAAAAAAGACGGGCTGCACAATATAAAACTAAGGTCCCTTTCATAACGAAGATGCAAGACACAAGATGCATGCGCGTCTTGCATCTTGATGAAAGAGCTTTCACACCAAGGATGCACGTGTCCCTTGCATCTCCTATTAATATCCATTATCTCTGTTAATTTAGTACGTGAGTTTGAAAGATGAAAAACCAATCATCCAACTCTTCAGGGTAAGTACGAAGAAGACGAAGAAATCGTTTATGGG